ATTTGCCTTATTGCGGAAACCTCACAGCGAAACATCAATGACGCATCTGTTGCATCTGTTGTAAAATTATTCATTCTGCAACATAATTTTATAATAATTCAGTTACCCTGGGATGCGGGATTTTGAACAAACTCCTTTTCGGTCGCATGCGAAAACCAGACTCTGTTAAAAATGGTTACTGAAGTGACATGCATTTTTCTCGTCGATTTTCGATGCCCTTAAAATTTAATTATATTCGATAGAAAATATATATATACACATATTCATTCTTTCACTCATTTTGTAGAGGATTACGTTTTATTTACCCTGAAGGAAAGGCATGATTCAGTTTTAAAGAGGTTCCTAGTTGCGATAGTTTTTAATGTCGTGAAATGCCTGTTCACAAAACATCGTGCCTCTGTACTTACAAATGTTGCCTGTAAATTTTATAAGGTAAGATGATAGTTGGTAGCCGTGCCCACAGACTTCACAATGGTACCTACTGGATCGATTTCAGTACCTGTGATTGCGTTCTTACTATGCTTCTAAACTCACGCGCACGCTGTATTACCTGTATCAGATTCATTTTAGAGGTACTATTCTAGGCAGATTTGCACCCGGTAACGATGAAAATGAGGCTTAGCCTATGTCAAATTTCATTAGAATAGGTGGTTGGCAACCGTGCCCACAGAATCCACAACCGTACCTACTGGCTTGATTTCAGTAGCTATGATTACATTCTCATTATACTTCCAAAGTTGCATGCGTTCTGTATTACCTGTACCAGATTCATGTTGGAAGTACTATCCTGGGCACCGGTAACGATGACAATGAGGCTTACTCTTTATCAACTTTCATTAGCAGAGGTAGCTTTCGACTGCCTCATTATTTGCGGACTTTCTCTTTCGCCCAAACCAATTTTTCGCATAAAAGTCTTACCCGGATTGCGTTGAGGCGTTCCGCGTGCCGCTGCTTGACTCTCGTGTCCTTCTGTCCATTATGTTGGATGGAGTTCTATCGCACACACTGCGGAATGACCTTCGGACCAGTTGCCTTCTTCCCATTGGTTGTTCGCCTTCACTTGCTTTTCTTTCCAATCTGAGGCTAGGATGCACTTATTCCACACACCGTTCAAAGTCTCCTTTCTCATTTCCATACCTTCCTTGTATTTTTCATTTAATCTAAATTAGACTTCCACTTTACCAGGAGCGTCAATTCCTAACATATACTACAATCGCCATTTACCCGTCCACTCGGTTGTCCCACCCGTATAGCCCCTATTACCACCGGTCCCGATTGACAGGCAGCTTTGAGTTTGCTGTGTCAGGAGGGCTACCAACTATCATCTAACCTTTTATAATATTGCTCAAATCCACTGCTAACTGTTATGAACGCCATATGGCTTCCTCTTTGCAGAGTATGAAAATGTGTGATTTTCCATCCACGGAAAATCGTCTTTCTTTCTTGGCACCCTTTTGGGGATGGTGGACGGGGTAATTCATCTGGAACTCGAATTTCCACTCATGCTGATGTACTTATATATATAAATAAAAATGGTATTGTATCGTATTTATGTCGAAGGAAGGATCTTAAATTCCGGACAGGTGGCTCGCCGATATTCCGCAGTAGTTTGTTGTCTTCGACTTGAATGTTTATTAAAAGTTTTGGGTCTGGCTCTAAAAGGTTTTGTCATAGAGATTTAACTCCATGTCATACACTGAATAATTTATAAATTTTTAGCCAGTTATATATATATATATATATATATATATTGGAACGCAGGCATCCCAAGAAATATAAATTGAAATCAAAACGTTCTTTGGGAAAGGGAGAAAACTTTATTGAGTAAATTTTCGACGTCGGTTCCCCGTGTCGTCGTCAGACTAGAGTAAATGTGCTGAAAACAATTAAAATTTCAAACGTGCTACAAAATCAATACTCATTTGGTGCCTCAGCTAGTAAGCTGCCGTCGTGTGTGTCAGTCCGTATTGATCGGCTTTCGTCTCTTCCACTTTTCTCTGAGATTCTTGTACGTGGCATCTAATTCGATATGCCTGTTGATGCATGACTCATCGGAGTGCATGGCTTCAAGAAACTCTCGGCCTTTTTTAGATGGGCAAACTCCGACGATGCCCAAAGAACGTTTTGATTTCAATATATATATATGCATATACAGGAGGAAGCTTCCTACAAAGAGAGACTGGGATGGTCATTTCTGGCCTGTTTGCTGTCACCAATCGATCTTACCAAATCTCTGATCTTTGTAACGCACGAGGTTCTAGGCCACGATGATTTTTATTATAGAACGTTAATAAGTCCAGCGTTCTAGTCATTGAGCCAAGGGCTCGTTGCACTGTCAGTCGCGATCAGGAACATTACCTTTTCAATTGATATTCAAGCCTGATTTGAATAATTAATTGGACCAAATTGTGAAAAACCTGCCGCATCGCAGAATTCAACCTCACGGCCGGAAGACTTTTGCTTGAGTACAGTCTGCGCTCCAACCAACTGCACTACGAGGTCTCAACGGGATCCGTGAAATAAATTAGATTAAATTGGCTAATAAGCCAGAAATGGCCATTCCAGTCTACCTTGTCTTTGTCGGTAATATCATTCTGCCTATATATCATGCGCCGCTGTGCGGCTGCTGGCTAAGCTCGAGAGAGAGTCCATAAGGCACAACGGAACCAGTGAGTTCCGTATTAGCAATCGGTGAGCGCCCCCTACCATTATATATATGTGTGTGTCAAGTGGGCGTTTGACCCTCACTGTTGTGGTAAGGATCTTACTCGATCCCATTCTGTCCGCCCGCCAGCTTGCTACTGGCGACAATGAACGCTGTGTCAAAGGAAACATACCACATATAATACATGAGCATCCCGCTAAGAGTGCAACAGGCCTATGACGCACTGAAGACCGGTAACGACCGTAAAACAGCTGTCTGCGTCTGGCCTGTTGCACTCTTAGCGAGCTGCTCATGTATTATGTATATACATATATCTATATGGGCAGAATGGCATTACCGACAAAGACAAGGGAGACTGGAATGGTCATTTCTGGCTTATTAGCCGTCGTCAGCCAGCCATACCCAAGCCCGAAGTGTGGAACACCCGAGCCTCGAGCTCGCGACCTGTTGGTTTAGAAGTCCACGCCTCTATCCACCGGGCCACAAGCCCGTTGCCTTGCCAGAAATGGCCATTCCAGTCTCCCTTGCCTTTGTCGGTAATGCCATTCGCCCATGTATCATGCGCCGGTGTGCGGCTGCTGGTTGGGCGCGAGAGAGAGCCCTTAAGGCACAACGGAACGAGTGAGTTCCGTATGAACGATCGGTGAACGCTGGGGGTCCCATAGAAGAGCCGAATCCCTCGCAGCTGTGTCACGCAGCGGCAGAATATCGGCGAAACACGTGTCTGGGCTTTTAGCAAGTATCTAGGTCGGGAGTACGGTATAATACCTTTACCATATGGAATTCATACTACTCGTAGTACTACTTGTTTGTAGAATGGGCATTACGTGGTTATTTAACAGTAGTTGATTGTCTTCGACTCAAATGTTCATTGAAATTTCGGTTCTGACCCTAAAAAGTCATGTCCCCGATATTATGCTCATAGTTCTGCACTGATTAATTGCTGAAATTATTCACCTGATTATTTTCTGGAGTTTCTATACCAGAAACCGCTAGAGAACGCTGGGGGTCCCACTGAAGAGCCAAACCCCTCGCAGCTGTGTCACGCAACGGCAGAATATCGGCGAAACACGTGTCTGGGCTTTTAGCAAGTATCTAGGTCGGGAGTACGGTATAATACCTTTAATATATATATGTATACATATAAGTCAGAGGCACTTTCTCGTTATGATCATGGTTTTGTTAAACCTTAGCACGTTCTTATTCTTGCAGCTTATCGAGCGGAGCTCACCGGGTCTGCAACGTTGACATTCAATCTAAACGGCCAGATGCACTGCCTGAAGGCTGTCCTCCCGCAGCCGGCTTTCAGTACTTCCGCATTCACTTACTCACCTCTTCACCGTCAGGCAGCAAAGACTCGAATTATTGAGCTAATGGATCAGCATTTTGACCTGGTTGATTATCCGGGAACCTATGAAACAAGAAAACCAATAGTGCGCAAAATGATTTCCTTGTCACTCGCAGCCAATGTCACCTCGCTTTTCACTGCTTTCTCTGGCGTGGACTCGGAACGCATGGGTGAGTCTTAGCGCTGTCGAATGTTGAATTCGACTTCCCCATGATCTAGTAACTGTTGTAATGCACTGAGTGAATTAATATTCTCTGTTCTGCAAGGAAGCTATGACCACAGGATTTCGCACAATAAAAGAGACCTCCGCGTCCCAGATATGGACTGCATCTCTGTTTCAGTGCCTTATAACACTTATTCGAATCCCCGACCTCGTGTACACACATGTCGCATGTCCTACTTCGACTTCGAATGCTGCTTTAAGTGGAACCTACACTATGCACGGTCGCAAATTCTACGTTAAAATTTGGTCGTTTCTAGTATCAGGCGCACCTGTGAGAAACCAGCGGCGCACGCATTTCAAAAAGAGATTTGTTGCTCAGCTACCCGTTATTTAAGGTATGAAGATTGTGTTATATGAATTCCTGTTGATTTACCATATCTGCAGCACAGATGCAGCGAACGATTACGCTCATACTGCGTGCATAACTTCACGAAAGACTTCCAATAAAGTGCAAACTGGTTTAAGTGCATAGTCAGAAACGGCCTGTTTAGAGCGGGACACCATCGGCTAACTGGAGTCGTTAAATGGTGTATCGAAAACAATGTGTCATCGGTTAGAAGTGATAAGATTTAAATGTAAGAACCCGCAGCAGTTAAATAAAGTGAATGATCCCAATTGCACTAGATATGTCCAGACACAGTCAGTTAAAACGAACACCGTTTCGAATATTGCCAAAAAATCACGTAATGTCGAGGCAGGCGATCAGTCAAGTGGTTTAGAATTTGCGTAGTTTTGTTAACTTTGCATTAAGGGATGTGTAGTTGACCACATTGAGGAGGAGTTGGGAAAAGTAAGTGGGTGTAAACGTCTGGGAAATATGGGTTTCGCGAGGTCTGATATGAAGGGTTCGGTCAGCGGTGAAGAAATAACAATATGTAATAGGTGATCTAGATCATGAGATACTGGGATTCGAAAGTGTGATTTTAATGGTGGAGTGCGCTCGCCAATCGTTCTTATGGAACTCACTCATTTCATTGTGCCCTACGGGCTCTCTCTGGCTTATTAGCCGTCGTTAGCCAGTCATACCTGGGACTCGAACTCGCGACCTGTTAGTTAGAATTCAAATGCGTCTAACCACTGTGCCACGGGCCCGTTGTCCTGTTGGTTTTCGATCGGGAATAAACAATGGTAGGGGCGCTCACCGATCGTTCATACGGAACTCACCCGTTCCGTTGTGCCTTACGAGTTTTCTCTCGAGCCCAACCAGCAGCCGCACAGCGGCGCATGATATAGGCAGAATGGCATTACCGAAAAAGACAAAGGACACTGGAATGGCCATTTCTTGGCTTAACAGCCGTCGTCAGCCAATCATAGTCGACCCCGAAGTGTGGAACACCTAGGGCTCGAACTGGCGACCTGTTAATTAGGAGTACAACGTCTCTAAGCGACAGGCCAGTTCTGTCGGTTAGGGACGTTGGATATCTAACCAACAGGTTGCGGGATCAAGCATTAGATGCTCCACGCCTAGGGGCTAGATGTGATGGACTGAAGACAGTTGATAAGCCGACAATGTCCATCCCAGTCTTCCTTGTCTTTGTCGGGAAAGTCAACATGATTTCGGCTTTAAAAGCATACTGCTTAGAATCACAAGATCGTTCAGCATGCAAGCAGGTCTCAAAATATTTTGTTTGCCCGTTGATGCTGGAGGCAAAAGTTTAAGAATATATTTTTCTTGTTTTCTGTTAGGTATGCTGGAATCTTTAAGGGCCTCATATATAATTGGACAACATGCATGATAAACAGCTGTGATCTGCCCATATGACAGTGAATACGCATATTCAATAGTCAGCATACTGACGTGAATGAAATTCCGTATGATTATGCGTACGTTAATCAGTATTGCGGTCCCAATGAGCCTAGAAAACATTTGGGAATATGAGGCATTTTCCGAACTAAGTCGTTTATTATAATGAGCAGATAAGATGGTATGCAAGTTTATCTATATTATCAAACATATCTTTCTTTGAGTCGGTTGAATTTGAAAGTGTCCATAAAATTTAAGTGAATAATTTGCGACTTTCGAAGTTTACAACCGACTCCCCGAATAAACAGCTTCCGTAATTTCTAAATTACGAAAACTCTGAGCCTTCCAAATAGGTAAGGGCTTTCTGGGTAATGTTTTTGCAGTTAATGGCGCAGGCAGTGTCATTGGACTCATCATGACATGCAACCTAACTGAGAAACATAGTGGATCCCGAAAGTAAATATGTATTTAATCACACGTAGAAGTTTCTCCAATAGGCGTTTTCTTGTCAAGGGCATTATTAGAGCCTTTACCAAGTAAATACACTGCTTTGCAAAACATGATCAACATAAACATACAGCCGATAGTTATGTCGCGGGCGGAAAATTTGAATTTTCTCCTGAATTTTGATCCGCATCGAACGAGTGTAAATACACCGCAGAGGGAACGCGGCTTTCACCCTTTAGCTCCCTATTCACATCGATAAACAGACATAGAATCATTTGTCACATTAGTAAATTGGGAAATTCAAAAGTTAGTGCTAAGTGTGAGTCAGGCGCAAACTGCCGCCATTAAAATAATTTGGGATTATATAAACAATAGTTTTTCAGCAAATAAGCGTCTAGTCTGCATTTAAAAAGTTCAACAAATTCGGAAAAAAACTACCGCGTCACGGAGGCGAGCAGACAGAATGGGATAGAGTGAGATCCAAACCACAACAATGAGTGTCAAACGTCTACTTGGCATGCTTATATACCTCGTTTCATAAGGCCTATAATGTACTGATTATAGGTAATGAACGTGAAAAAGCTGTCTGCGTCTGGCCTGTTGCACTCTTAGCCAGCTGCAATATATATATATATATATATATATATATATATATAACTGCCTGCGAGGGTTTAAGTATGAGCCCCAAGGCACAACGGAACGAGCATGTTCCGTAACCTGATCGGTGAGCGCCCACTGTCATAATTAATATTCCCGATCACAACCGACAGGACAACGGGCCCGTGGCTCAATGGTAGAGCGTTCAACTCCATGACCAAAGATCCCGGGATCGAATCTCAAGTGATCCACACTTGGGGTTGGGTATGACTGGCTGATGACGGCTAATAAGCCAGAAATGGCCATTCCGGTCTCCCTTGTCTTTGTCGGTATTACCTTTTCATATATATATATATATATACATGTACGCAGAAAGTGGGTACCAACAAAAGCAGGGGACATTGCGATGATCGTGACCGTCAAACTCGACCTCTGTTTGGGATGGCCAGGAATTCCAATCAGGATTACCGTGTTAAATGATAGCCATTAAGCCACCGACAGAGCATTCAGTCAGCTGTGTTTGATAATGTTTGGAGTTCTGTTACGCGCAGAGAACATCATTCACACGGATAAAAATAACTTGCTGGTCTCAGTTATTTCTTCGTTAGAATATGAAGATACAAAGCTTAGGCAGGTTTACGACCGACTGGCCCATTTACATTTCGTGTTTCCATAGCCTGCGCTGAAGAAGGACAAACAGTTACTGCACTTTACAGTTTTTTTTATCTGCGCTCTGTATATTACGATGTCGAGGACTTATCAAAAAGGGAAATCTAAATTTAGCTAATTGGTTAACCAATTCATTTTGCACTGAAACGATTTAAATTTCACTACTACTACTACTACCACTACTACTACTACTACTACTTCTACTACTACTACTACTACTTCTACTACTACTACTTCTACTACTACTACTACTACTACTACCACTACTACTACTACTACTACTACTACTACTACTACTACTACTGATGTCGACTCTTTTTCTTTCCATCGCTCTCCATAGTCACTTGCAATCGCCCACTGACTCCGGACCAGTTACGGTGGATGCGCAGCCTAGAAGAGAGAAGAGCAAAGTACTTGTTGACCGCTTCGCAGGCGGTACGCACCCGTTCCAAACCAGAGCATACAGTCGATTCAATCATGCCTTCTGCCGAGTGTCTACGAGACCCTTCTCCCCCTGCTCCCCTGGATGCGGCGACGGCAGCGGAGGAGGATTTCCTCGCGACAATCGAAGACCTACAGGAATTTGCTGGATGCTGGCCTCTCAATGTCGGACTGTCTTGGCTCCTCAACTGTTCTCTAGAAGCCCTCACGGCCACCATTCCGCCGAGTTGTGCGTTTTTATCTGACTGGCCTCCAACGGGATAAGCTATAGTCATTTGTTAAACGCCGAAGGCAACACTCCAAGTACTGATGAGTTAGTTGATTCGAATATGCCTTTATTGACACGTACTGTCTGAAGGGCGCGACCTTTGTGTTTAGACGCAAATTAGTCAGGGAAGTTAAATTCAGCAGGCATTACTAATGAGTTTTTGGATCTAGGCGCTTACTTTACCTTCCACAACTTCGTGCCCAGCAACGTTCGAAGGGGTAAAGTACAGGTCGTCAAAATAGCCTACTGGAAGCACTAAAGTAGGAAGAATTTTCCTGCTGTAATTCTGGACAGTAAAATATCTCCGAGACCCAGCTGATTGGCGTTGCGCAATCAAACGTCTGATGCGACCGACAGTTTGGTTGTCGTTGCCGACGATGTCCACCGTGTGCTCCACTTAAAAGTGAAGCAGACACGGTGACTTGTGCGTGAATTAGTTTATAGGGATAGTAGACTTGCGCAGCATTTACCGCACTATCTCTTCCTCGCTCCCCACCTGGACCCGGTGTCAAAACAGAGTCAAGAAGACCGGAGGTGAGGGAGGGCGCAGGGGGATGGCACGGTCGAGCCCGCAGCTTGGTGCTGCACTCCACACCTCTTGATCCGACAAGAATCTCGTTGATGACTTTGCCACACTTTCGGTGGACACGTCCAAGCGTCCACATTTCTGGACGCCTTGTCAGCGCCTTATCATTCGGATGGAACGACCGTTACTCCGTTGCCTGGATCGAATGGCTTCTCCAATGACGTCAAGTGGACTGTTTTGCGACCAAGATCCCGTTGTTCGTCGACAGATGACACCGGATGAATTACGTCGAATAGCGTGCAAGGTAGTCTCTGAATTAAAGCTACTGACAGACAGACACAGTTTGGAGCGTTCGGGTTTGTAGTTGCCTGTTCTGAGAGCGTTTTCTGTAGTGCGTTCCGATTTTGACTTCTGAATAGCTCCCTTGAGCGTGTCGGCAGATCGTTCAACCTGTGATTTGGACTGCAGGTTGTATGGAAGCGGACGCAAGTACTTTAAGCCTCTGTGCTTGCAAAATTAGGCGAAGGTGGCTACCGTAAAACTACCCTCCATAATCAGTCATCAAAATAGTAAAATCTGCTGAGCGTTCGTCAAAGTGTTGATTGTGGCTCTGGCTATAGTGCGTTTCCGGAGGAAGATGTTGGATCATATGTGGTACGCATGGACGGATATAAGGAAGTTTTGACTATTGATCAGTAATCGACGTGGACACTGGACTACGGGACCCGTGAAACAGGCCATGACTTGAGTGTGGCTTTTGTTGGCGGCTTTGATTTGAGCGATCATTCAGGGCGTGAGGGAACCAGCTGGTCCCGTATTTGGTCAAGTACGGATTAGTGTGAGCGAGAGTATTCTTGCGGTCTATGGCCGGCTGTCCAGTTTAAAACTGCCTTACAACACGTGCTCGCAGTTTCTGTGGCACAGTGACAGGCTTGGAGAACAAGTTACAGTCCTTAATGGTGGAGAGGAAATCTTCTCGTTGGTGGAAATGCCGTAATTCTCCAGAAGGAATGCGAGCCGCTGAGTGCAATGGTACTTTGTGTCTTACCTCAGCAGAGGATCCGGTTGTGTTGCCTTTAGGACTTCTTCAAAAGTGACAGAGAATACACGAATGGAATCAATAAACGGTCAGAAAACCTAAGACTCAACGGGAACGGATCCGTTATTTAATTAAGTATGAGAGTGCATCTGCCTGCCCGATATTTGCGATAGACCGATATCGGATACCGAAGTCGTATCCCAGCAGCACGGTCGCCAAACGCCGAAGACGATTGCCGAGTACACGAAAATGCGCTCCGAAAATTGTAAAGAGGCTTATGGACCGTTAAAAGTATGAAATGACGACCATGAAGCATCTTGGGAAACTTCTTTAGGGCCACTATACTACCCAAGGCCTCCTTTTCGATCGTCCATTTTTTGGGTTCCACGGACGCAGGTTACCTTGCGTCATGACAGATAGTATTTTTTGTATTGTCTGGAAAGGCACATGAAATCACGGCGCCAATTCTATACATGGAGGCGTACCCTGGAACGACGATCTTAAGATTGAGGTTGGAGTGAGTGAGCTGCAAGTCAGAGCGCAACATTGCTTTTACTTCATCAAAGGCTTGTTGACATTCTAGCGGCCAATTCCATTTGGCATCAGGTTTGACTAGTTCATTGATCGAACGACGAAGGTGGAAAATTTCTGGAAGTAAACAGTCGTGCTGACGCCTGATACCCCAGGTGTCAGAGGAATCCACATCCTTTGGTGCAGACATCTGGCCTAAGGGGTTAGTGTTATCTGGATTTGAATGGGGACCCCCCTGGTTTATCGTGAATCCAATGTAGAGTAGATGAGCCCCCTCGAAGGTTTCAGGGAGTTGCTTGACGAGTGCGTCAATAGCGAAATCACAAGGTTTCGTAGGCTAAACCATATCAGTGTACCGCTCGTGCGACTTGTTAATCAGTTGACGTAGCAACGGGCGAACCTTCCACAAATTATCATTTTGCGTCAGCAAATTCAGCGCGGAAAATGCCTTTCCACTGTTAGAGCCATGAATCGAAGTCCAGACCCGCATTAGGATCATAAATAAACTTAGTAATGTTAGAAAAAACTGCGTCCGCTGACGTGAACAGCTTCCCATAGGATGCTAAGAAATGAAAGTGCAAAATGGGGTTTTGCATCGTGCATCGCGTCATCTTTAGGTGGACTGCTTCTAACTAAGCCTACTGTGTCTGCTTTTGTTGCAGGATAGACAGTAATTCTTCAGCCTAAGCAGACATTTTATGTACTGCATGCTCCATATGTAATGAATATGTCGCATAAATCATCGGCCGTCGGTCCAACAGCTCGTTTTAATTGAATTCCCAAACAAAAATTCAACATCAAGAGCGAAAGAAGAGTAGCTACTGGCTTATTTTACCAGCGTAAATAAGGCGGAAATCGAACATGCGGAACATCCAAGGTCAGACCGGAGTTGGCCAATGATATGGCGTCCTTGAGTAGTCGACGTATCGGATAGAATCGACCTCATCTGCCTGGCCGGGTAGAACTCTAATCCTCTAAGGAGATGAAGTGACATCAGCAAGCGCATGGCGCGTAGGGGCGGATTGATAAGACGGTGTGAATTTGAGTCGGTTAGAACGACTCCTCCTTCTGCATGACATTGACTTTACCATGGAGGTACATAGGAAAGCATAATCCCAGAATGTCATGCTGTTTGCTAAATATTGCTGTGAGCGTACTTTTTTAGTTGCCTTTTAGTCAATTTCGGATACATTTTCATGTATGGGAGAGCCGATCAGGCGACAGTTTTTGGCCCTTAGAGGCATGGGTCTGTTTTATAACTGCTTTTTGAACTCCCGATGTCTCATGCACTGACGTATGTATACGTCAAAATGGTTACACCGGTTAGGAAAGTAATTTGATGAGGCATTTTATCTCTGATCAATGAGTCATGACTTAGTTGAATAGGTTATAAGCGGAACTCCGATTTTGAGATGACTTACGTTACGCACGCCCATTTTGTTACAGTCAGTGGCGAAGATGGCCGCATCTGGGCCACGGCCTTGGTACTGGTACTGCTCGAAGTAAAGATTCCTTGGCGCTCCGATGATTGGCGTCCCCTCGCCATGAAAGGAAGATCCTGGCTCGCGAAACATCTTCCACGCAGGAAGGCCACTGAAGGAGAAGGAGAAGGAGGAGGAGGAAGTGGAAAGAGCAACTCACTCGATGAACTTCGCTCTCTGGCCAAAACCACCCTTGCCTCTCTCATTTCCTTTCCCTGAGAATTATTCTTGTCGTTCTCTTTCTTGTTCTCCCTTAATTCACAATATTCTGGTAAATAGGGAGACAGGGAGTGACTAAGTTTCTTTGCTTTTCTACACCACCGCTACTACATGCCCTTGTTATGTTCTCTTATCCACTTATTTTCTCTTATCTCCCTGATGTTTTCTGGTTAATTGAATGAGTTTTGCGGAAGCTGCCTATTCCTTTCTGAGGTCACGTGACTGGCACAGATGCCCTAAAATACTGCTGTATTGCTGTCGGCAGAAGCCGTCCTGAAATCACTGTTTGCAATGTCTTTCAATGAAAGACTATCTGCTCGATGGTACTGGCAGCTTTGGAAGCAGCCGGAAGCTAAGTTGGCTTGACAAAAGTGCCAGCCTACCGCCTCAGCCGAAGAAAGCCTTCTGCACGTAGATCGCTTACTAGCTCAACACCGATTTGATATGCCCGTCTCTGAGGTCAGTCTCTTCAGCCAGTCGTCCTGTGTTCTGGCAGAGAACGGTTTTTCAAATTAGAAATACTTGGCAAGGCCCATTCTTCGATCGAACTATGTTGACTTCTTGGATAAAGTAATTCTTAAAGATGTCAAAACATCTCCAACCTACCACAGTCCCGTTATTGAACGAAAAATCTATTGCTTCGAGGAGAATCTTTTTCTTCTGTCTCCTTGGAAACCAGGCGGGTTTATTGAAAAGGAAGCCTGATGAGCAACCGCGATCATGGTTCCGAGTTGCTTCTAAACAACTGAAAACTGTGGCTGCTCTCAGTTGTGTATGCATATCGTTGTCGCATTCAGTGCGGCACACATGAGCCACGAAGAAGCATGGAAGGCAGTTTCTTATGAGCTTTTCAATTAGGATGCGGAAGAGTCCGTAATCGTCGTCATACGGCAGTGAGCAGCAGAACAGGTGGAGAGAAAAGGGGCTAACTAGCAAGTTCATGAACAGCCTTTGCTGTTTTCAGTAATGACGCTTCATTGGCTCAGAAAGAGAAATCCGATCGCTGAAACAATAATTTTTAAATTTGTGGTTTCGGATTTGACTCGAAATCATCATCAGCGGCAGTCGCAAATAAAGGTGATAGAGGCATACGGAGCGTAGTACGTATAGGACGTAGTTACCGGTTCCGGTAGGTGAAACAGAAGTAGCAATAGCTGCTGCCACCACCACTACTGCCTCAAATAATATTCATGTTACCTTAGCTAGTAACACTACTACTACTACCACCACCATAACCACCACCAGCAACACCAGCACCACCAGCACCACCACCACAACCACCACCAGCAACACCAGCACCACCAGCACCACCACCACCACCACAACCACCACCAC